AAAAAAAAAAAAAAAAAAAGAAAAAAGAAAAAAATGGGGAGTTGACTATGTGGTTTCGTTTTTATTTGCTTATTATATGTTGAGTAGACTATCTATAGCTCTTTGCACGTGTATTTGAAAAAAATGGAGTTTGAATCGAGTAAATCGCGTAGAATGACTCGGGACGGGATTTTGTTTCGTATGGATTCATCTTGTGGGGACCGTGTCTTCAAATTTGAGTTTAATTTTGTGGATAACCGGAGGAAGACGAGAGTTTCATTTCGCATGATTATTAATTTTGGACCGTCGATTTTTCTTCTCGAACTACTTGGGACCAAATGTGAGAAACTGCAAAAGTTTTGGGACCAAATTTGCAACTCTAAATTAAAAAAAAAAACGACTAACGTCTAAATTATAAGATTGATAAGTCTTGACGGAAGGGGACCGATTTGGCAACGAAAAATCAAAAAGGACCATAAATGTGGTTCTTGGGACCAAATGTGGGAAACAGAAAAAGTTTTGGGACCAAATTTGCAATTTTCTCACAATACATTCATACCTACGCAAACCGTCCGAATTCATATCCCTCTCTATATTAATTTAAAATGTGTCGAGCTTAGATGGCAGATTCTCACGTTTCGGATATTGACATAACAAAAATTTATATTTCGTGATGTTATTTTTATATTATTTTTGCTCTAAAGTTAAGTTTGGTATTAGACATAAATAACTTTACACATATATTTATTAACTCAACACTCATGTTGTACATGGATATTAATACTAGTATTTATTTTAAGCCTAAGAAAAATAAGAGTATTGCTATTTGTCGCCTCAAAAAATAATTTAATAATATCTGAATTTTCATTTTTGTCCTAATATAAATATTCTACCTATATCTACCCAAATTATTATTTTTACCTTCACTGGCTCCCTTTTCTTCACTTTTACCTTATTCCACATCTCCATCAATCTCCTTCTTCCTCTTCATTAAAAATTAAATCATCAATCTCTACATTATTCTTCATTAATCCACATGTCTAGTAATCCAACATCATCGGGAACATATACAAATGAAGTAATTGTGTTAACCCCTATTTTTTTTATGTTGATTTTCACTTGCAAATGAAATAATGTGTTAGTCCTTTTTTTTTTTACGTTGATTTTCACTCACAAATGAATCTCTTGATTTTTGAGTATTTGAGGTATTTTAGGACTTAGATAATTATACCCTATATATATATATATGTATATATATATATTATGTTGCATTAAACCAATGTGATGGGTTGATCAGTATGGAATAATGAATAAAGTGATAATAGATGTAAGTTAGGGTTTAATTTTGTTCGGTAAACGTCTCACGTAAAAGCTTGAAAGTAATTTAAACGTCTGGAAGCTAAGCTTATATAAGCCGTAAAAGTTTTATTGTCATGCTACCTTACCCACGAAACGTCTAACATGAAAGCCCGACTCTGAAGAGAAACGTCTAGTTGGTAAGAGGCAACACATAGAAAACGTACAAACCGAATATGCTTGGAAGCCTTTGAAACGTCTAACATTAAAGCTTATATGCAGTTTAAACTTTAGTATTGAAAGCTTAAAAGCCCTAGAAACGTCTAAGCTTTAAGCTTCTGTGCATTTTAAACGTCCGGGATGTAAGCTTCAAAAGTTAAGGAACATAAATATTAAAAGCTTGGAAGCCTCTGAAACGTCTAAACCTAAAGCTTATATGCAGTTCAAACGTCTAAACCAAAAGCTAGTTTTTCTGCAACTGAATTTAATAGTTTTCTTTGTTTATCAGCTATATGATATATGAAATTATTAATATTTACTTTTTATAAAATGTGATAATTAAATTGTATAATTTAACTTTGAAGACGTGCAAATACATGCGAGTTATAGTGAAGCTCTGCATTATTGCTACATTCTTGCAATATATTCAGGGTAATAATTATATTTCATAATTAAATCTTGACCATTGGATCTCAAAGGTCAAAATAATCCAACAGTCAGATTTGGAAATTTGATCGTTGGCCAACCGTCGTGGAACCGGTGGGCCAGTCGAAACTGAACCCAAACCCCGACCATGTAACCGAATTTAAAAAAAAAAATATCTAACAATTAGATCTTCAACGGTCAAAAACTTTCAATGACCT